AATAATAATAATAATAATAATAGTAATTATAATAATAATGATAATAACAATAGGGATAATAATCATGATAATAATAGTAATGATAATAGTAATAGTAATGATAATAATTATAATGATAATAATAATGATAATGATAATATTAATAATAATAATAATAATGATAATAATAATAATAATGATAATAATGATAGGAATAATGAAAATAATAATGATAAAATGGTAATGATAATGATAAACATAATACCAATAATAATGATAATTATGATAATAATAACAACAACAACAACAACAGCAATAATAGTAATAATAATAATAATATTGATAATAATAATAATAATAATAATAATAATAATAATAATAATAATAATAATAATAATAATAATGATAATAATAATAATAATAAAATAATAATAGCAAAAAATACTTGTAATAATGATAATAATAATAATAATAATAATGATATCAGAACAACAACAACAACAACAACAAAATAATAAAAATATTAATAACAATAATAATAATAATAATAATGATAACAATAATAATAATAATAATAATAATAATAATAATAATAATAATAATAATAGTAATAATAGTAATAACAACAAAAATAATATTAATGATAATAATAACAATAATGAAAATTATAATAATAATAATGAGGATAATAACAATAACACTAATGACAATAATATATTAGTAATAATGATAATAGCAATGATAATAATAATTATGATAATAAAGATAGTAATGATAATAATGATAATGATAATGAAGGTAATAAAAATATAATAACAATAATAATTGATATAGATGATAGTAATAATATTGAAAATTATAAAGATGATAATAATAATATTGAAAATTATAAAGATGATAATAATAATATTGAAAATTATAAAGATGATAATGATAATATTGAAAATTATAAGGATGATAACAATAATGGTCATAGATATATAATGATAATAATGAAATGATGATGATGTTGATAATAACAACTTCAACAGTATTATCAATGATAATGATGGTGAATTATATAATGATAACAGTAATGATAGCAATAATAATGATGATAATAACAATAATGATAATAGTAATGATAACAAAAATAATAATAATGATAATGGCAATACTTCTACTAATAATAATGATATTATTAACAATACTATTATCATTATTATGATTTATTATAATGTAAATTACAATATTGATAATAATAATAACAATGATAATGATAATAATGATAATAAAAATAATAATAATGATAATATTAATAAGTTATTATTATCATTATTACCATTGTTATTATTATTGTTATCATTATTATTATTGATATTATTATCATCATTATTATTATTACTATTATTATTGTTATCATTATTATTATTGTTGTTATTATTATTATTATTATTATTATAATGGCAATGATACTGATAAAAAATAGTAATAATGGTAATAATAATAATGATTATAGTAATGATGATAAAAACAATAATAAAGAGGGTAATAATGATCATAATTCTACTACTAATAATAATTATGATAATAATAATAGCAATAATGCTAATAATAACAACGATAATAATAATATCAGTAATAATGATAATAATGATAATAATAATAATAATAATAATAATAATAATAACAATAATGATAATAATAATAATAATGATGATGATGATGATGATGATGGTAATAGTAACAATGCTAATGATAATATTAGAAATAACTATGATAACAACTATAATAATAATAAGGCCAAAGACAACAAGAGGCATGATGTTTTTTTTTTCCTGTAAAGTGACCTGGCTTCATTTGTCGCATGGTTGCTCTTGAAGAACGAGACCTAGTTATTTTTGGATCATACACGTGTGTGTGTTTGTGTGTGTAAAAAATGTTGATTTTCCACTCGTTGACCCCAATCGAAGGAAGAATCTCCATCATCAGTACTAGAAATAAGATATAAGTAGATCAAATATGATTAGACAAAAAGGGAATGACAAGAATATAAGATAAAATAGACTACAATAAATGGGTAATAGCAAGAATATAAAGGGGAGACATACCTCACAAGTGTGAAATGCTCGTTATGTAATTGCGATTACACCGTAAACAATTGAATGACTCTATTCGTGTTTAGTTCAGGGTTCATCTTGAGGATATAGAAAGGTTTTGAGATGAGGTCAAGTCTGGAGGAGGTTGCGGATAGCATTTTGAAGTCAGAGTATCTGCAAGGGTAGTAATCTCTGTGTGAATGCTGGCAGACAGCGGAGAAAGATGGTCAGCTCAGAAGTAGGCTAGTTCTTAAAGATTGTACCCATGTGTTCAAGTAATCTATGTTTGAACCAACATATAGAATATCCAGTATACCTAGCATTACATCTAGGATAATTAAACATATATATACTATATGAACATAATTCTGATGGCAGAGGCATGCCCTTCTTATTACTATAGTGGTGAACAAAAATAATGTTATAACTAGTCTATGGTAACG